TCCTGGCCCTGTGACATCTTGCGTTGTCATCCTGGAAGATGAAACGGCGGCCATGACGTCGTGCGAACGGCACAACATAGACTGCCAAGATGTTGTCCCGGTAGTACTGGCCTGTAACACGCCCTGCAACAACATGTAAAGCCGTTCTTCCAGCAACAGTGATGCCTCCCCACACCATAACAGAACCACCCCCAAATCGATCATGTCTGATGACGTTAACGTCTTGGAAGCGCTCGTTTCGACGACGCCACACCCTCCTACGTCTGTCCAAAAAATCAACAGTGAACCTTGACTCATCTGAAAACATCACATTGCTCCAGCGTCGATTATCCCAGTGTTGACGATCCCTACACCAACGACGTCTTGCCTGAATGTGATGATCTCTCAAACAAGGGATCACGCGAGGACGTCGGGCGCGAAGGTGACCCCTATGCCGTCGATTCCGAATCGTCTGGCCACTCACTCTCACACCAGTGTCTGTTTGAAGACGAGCGCTGATCTGATTTGCTGTGATGACACGATTTCTCAAGGCCAAGGTACGGATAAATCGATCCTGGGCTTGAGTTGTCGCCCTTGGTCGACCTGAGCGTGGTCTGTCCTGTACAGATTGTGTATCACGGTATCTGGACCATAGCCTGCTTATGACAGACTGAGAAACATTCATCGTTCGCGCCACAACCGCCTGTGTTGTGCCGATCTGTAGCATGCCAAGGGCACGTAACCTTTCATTTTGGGTAAGCCGACGCATATCAAAATTTGTTTTCTGGTCACTAAAACAATTAAACTGATGTTTCCACCCTGGAATTCAATGCCACAATGACTGTAACATTCAAAGTCAGAGTCGTGCAAATCTTGGGTTGGACCCCCATGATGATCCCAAGCATCACCTGCATTCCATGCGGTAGCTATTGGTGCGTTTGGGCGTCACATGTAACTGGAAATGTTTCTTCTGTTAGGTTCTATAGTGACTTTTTTCGTAGTCATTTGCATATTTTAGTATTATGCCCCCAAAATCAAATATCCCCTACTTTTTTTGAATAGTATATATATAAAGAAAAATGTCATAGCTTTATTTACTGTTAAAAAATCATTCTTAGTTTGTTGACCGCACGGTTAGTGGAGTTGACCTGTTAACCTTAATATTAACAATATAATTATAAATTCAAGTAATATAAGTTCAGCACAATCTGATTAAAATACAGATCTATATTTCTTTTTGTTTTTTTGTTTTTATATACTTTCGATGGCCTACAGTACATGAAGATCTGACAAGTTGTACTCGAAGGTCGTGTCAGGGGTCGTACGGGCGGCTTTTGACCCTATGACATCAGACATTGTTTAATCAATCAGCGTTGACGTTTCTAGTGGTTTATCCACAGTTCCGTGCATGGCACATCAAGAAGTCGCCGTAACAGACTGTTTCATTGGCTTATCCCTCACTTCAACCAAAACGCCAGTGTAACAACTCGTTCAGATCCTAGTGTAGTAAAGAGAAGTAAAACGAAATTTTGAACTATAAAAACGTAACAAAATAGGATCTGTGTTTTAATCAGATTGAGTTCAGCACGAACTTGCATTTAAAAAAACCCATGTAAATCAGTGGTTACCAACCTTTTGTTGGTTGCGACCCAATTCTAGAATCCAGCATTTGATCGCGGCCCCTCCAAGAACAAAGTCCCCTTTACTATGAAACATCATCTTCGTTTACATATATGGAAGACCAAACAGCTCTTTATTTCTTCATATTTCGACATTTGTACATTTGTATCTTAAAATCATTATTTGTTTTACAAGTTACACATTTGTCATATCAGATTTGTAAAATGTATTTTTGTTTAATTTGATTTAATTTTAATATAAAGACAAAATGTATTTTAGTAAATCAAAAAAATAATCTACATTTACATTTCATCATAGACATATAACGAAAAACAAATCTCGAACAACAAATTTCTAAATACAAATCTCCAAATACAAATGCCAGGTTGATTTCTGCTCATGTCGTCATAATATTCCGTTTCGATGGATTTCGAGAAATGTTTTTGGAGAAATGTTATTGAAGAAATGTTTTTGGAGAAATGTTATTGAAGAAATGTTTTTGGGGAAATGTTACCAACCTTTTGTTGGTTGCGACCCAATTCTAGAATCCAGCATTTGATCGCGACCCCTCCAAGAACAAAGTCCCCTTTTACTATGAAACATCATCTTCGTTTACATATATGGAAGACCAAACAGCTCTTTATTTCTTCATATTTCGACATTTGTACATTTGTATCTTAAAATCATTATTTGTTTTACAAGTTACACATTTGTCATATCAGATTTGTAAAATGTATTTTTGTTTAATTTGATTTAATTTTAATATAAAGACAAAATGTATTTTAGTAAATCAAAAAAATAATCTACATTTACATTTCATCATAGGCATACAACGAAAAACAAATCTCGAACAACAAATTTCTAAATACAAATCTCCAAATACAAATGCCAGGTTGATTTCTGCTCATGTCGTCATAATATTCCGTTTCGATGGATTTCGAGAAATGTTTTTGGAGAAATGTTATTGAAGAAATGTTTTTGGGGAAATGTTTTGCAAGATTCGTATTTGGAGATTTGTATTTAGAAATTTGTTGTTCCAGATTTGTTTTTCGTTGTATTTCTCTGATGAAATGTAGGCTTATTTTTTATTTTTTTAAATAAATTTTATCTTTATATTAAAATCTGATATGACAAATGTCTGATCTGTAAAACAAATATTGATTTTAATATACAAATCTTAATTCGTGTACAAATGTCGAAATACAACAACAAATGAAGAAATACGACAACAAATGAAGAAATAAGAATTAAGGACTATGAATTAAGAAATAAGGACTAAGAACACCGAATAAGAGCTGTTTGGTCTTCCATATATATAATTGTTTAACTTATTTGACTTCTCGTTACACCGTTATAATAATTGAAGAAAGGTGATTGGCAATGTGGCAAGAGGAGTGTGAAACGTAGCATTTTTTCAGATGTTACAGAGCAGTCCGCCAAGACCCCAGGTTGGGAACCCAGAGTAATATATCATGACGTTGAATGAAATTTTACGTTAAATCAAATGGCTGCCAAATTATCATCCATGTACATTAATTGTTTATCGCTAAAATAAAATCATACCGAAGTTAGTGAAACGTTTTGAGATTTTATCGCTCAAGTTTTATCATGCTGATTGTTGTGAAACTTATTGAGATTTTATAATAACTAATGTTATGTTGGTTAAACATGCATTTTTTAAGAGTTAAAGGCTCAATACCACTCTTGTTGTAACTGAATAATATGTCCCAATCTTTGTTCTGGTCAACAATTTTTACTATTTTACAATATTCCAATTAATTGATGATACAAATTTAATCTTAACACACCTAATTCAAAAAATTGGAAAAATTCAACTAAATGATTATAAAAGCCTGACGTAAAGCTTTTCAAATGTGACTTGGATTTAAAAATATTTTTGAACCCTCTGGACAAGTAAAATATGATTTAAATGGATCATTTACACAATAGCTAGGGCACTAACACATCTAGTACTTAGAATAAGGCTATTTTTTTATTTTCTGGAGCTGTCAAGCCAGCAAAAGTGTTATTGTCCCTTTAAAGGAGCTAAATCAGTAATATTTTGGACCTACAAATTGACACAAATGGGTCGCAACGTATATAATAATGTAATATGAATGTAAATAAACTGATTTACATTCAATCGTTTCCGTTTTTACTCTAATTTCAAAGCAGTTATGTTCGAAGTCTCAATCGAATGGCAATCTCTAGCGACTGATTATTCCAGTCTACACCGATAGTATTTATTGCGCATGCTCTCCAGATAAGAATATGGGGGTCACCGTTTGACATTACTTGTGGAATACATGTATGCCTAACCTCGTTCCTCGGGTCGCTTGTTACGCATTATGGTACACGATTCGTGTACCAATCGTAAAAAGTTTATTTTGTCTTAAATATTGGATATGAGAAGCCAATCTTTTTCCGGTTAGACCACAACACCAATGTTGATTAAAATTGACAAATAATTCGTGTTTTCAATGTCGAAGGTTTTGGATGATACTGAGTTAGAGACGTAACTACTTTAAATTTGCCTATTGCTGATCTTTACTTTGGCCTCAAATATTATAAATTAGACATTTATTTACATGCCATGCCCATAATCAACTCTAGAATTTCGGATGGATTTAATATTTAACAGGTTTGTGATTTAATTTAAAAATGAAAATCGAGACTGCCCTGTTCTGCAAACGACGCTAACTCCTCTAATTTGACTGAAGGTTTCAATATATTTCCTTTCCATCATCTATTTTTTTAAAACTATTATTGCGAGAACTGTCAGCTCTATATCTAAATCTTACGTAATGCATCTATAATTTTCCCTGATGGGTCACCATGTCATTTTATATTAAAGGGACCATCCCGATTTTAACAGAGTCTCAGAAATAAAAGTCTGTGTACTTATGAAATTTAAGCGTATTTACCTTACCTCCAAATGTCAGCTCAAAATATTGAGTCGTTTGGACGTGAACGTCAAAACCGCTTATCCGGACACGTGGCCCTTTTAAGATTTCGGGTCACTTTTTTTCCTTGGGTGGCCTGATAGAGGTCTATACATGTACAGTGCATGACCCACGTGCTGTACTTGATAACAAAAGGTAAATTTCACCTACTTGTTATTTTCATAAAATAAACGTCTGGTTTTATTCAGACACCGTATAATACGGCTTATATCAAAGTCTAAATTACTTATTTGATGGGTTTTCTTGGTAAATAAAGTGAAACTTGTATAGTAAGGAAAATTAAATAAATGGGCCCATACTTTGCTGTGTTTCTTTTATTTTAATAAAAGAAACACAGTAAAGTAGAGTTTACAGTACAGCAGGGCTAATAACAATAACAGATAGCTGCATTTAATAAAACCTCTTAATAACGAATAAAGATCAGAAATAAAAACTCACATTCCCTAATAATACCAGTATCCATCCTGTTACATCAAGCATCTATAGACAAGTGAAATCTATATTACGTTGCTATCTGTTTAAAAAGATGTGGCGCGGACGTCACCGAAAGACAATAGCATGACGTCAACGTTGTTATAACCGTGAGTTCAATTTTTTTCAAAACTTGTGTTTTCTTTAAAGTTTATTTGTACTGACACTTCAAAATAAAGGTAGATTTTAAGGATCTTTATCCTCAAAACGAAAAAGTTGCATCTCTGTTACATGGACACGGCAATAAACAGCATATAATTATATAATATCAGCCAATTTGACCATAAATTCAAAGAAACGCTGGAATTTCGCTTAATTAAAACTAAAATGATGTTAATTCGAATAAAACAATCTTTTGCTGGAATATTCTACATAAATAGCTTTACAATACATTGGATATCTCAGTAATGGATAATGTCCGAAGACTGTCCATTATGTGACAAGAAAGCATGGCTTATGCCTTTAAGTGACTATCTTCGACTAAAAATCCTTTGAATACGGACGTGGGGTCACGGTGGCTAAGTGGGTAAGACGCTGGCTCACTAGCCTGAAGGTCGGGTGTTCGATCCCTGCATTGGCCTAGAAAGTTCATCCAGATTTTTCGGCGTGGTTTCCCATTGTCAGTGATGAACGTAAAAGATCCCTTGGCAGTTGGAATTCGATATAAGAGTAGCACACTGTATGACGTATGTCCGTCTTCATTAGGAGCAGATTAGGAGCAGAACAGTCAGTAGGACGTTAAACCCCACTTCATTTCATTTTGAATACGGATCCTGATCTCTCTGTTGTAATGTTTAGGATTACTGTTGTGGATTATTACCACGTCGGATTATACCGATTCAGGGATTATTCATCCTGTCAAATTCAAAGGCCACTTTAAGGGAGAAAATCCACTTAACTTTTAAGTCACCTACGGGAGGTACTTTAAAGTTAAATGAGTTTATAATGATTTCTTTTAACCGGAGTACACAATGTAGTAACAGGCCGCTAATGACGATTTTAAAATGAAAGCCGTGCTATAAATATAACATATTATTTTCTAAAAACTGACTTGCGCTGATCAGTTGGTTGTCCAAATCGTTTGACAACATTGCACAAAATGAATGCTAGTTTGTGAACACCTGGTTACTAAAATGTAATGCACGTGCAACTTACGACTTGTTTTCTTAATTTTGTCATATCAGTCGCAGGGCCGATATGGGCTAAACCATTGTCTTATAGGTGCAATCAATTAGGATATATACTGAGCGCCATGGAAAACGCATCACTTAGTTTTTCGTATAACAAAATGATCCTGTAAACATATCTTATTTATTTTGCTTCTTATTGTGAACAATATTCAAATGGGAACACATCAATAACAACACATTTGTACACTTATGGGGGATCACGGTGGGTAAGGCGCTGGCTCGCTAGCCTGGAGGTCGGGTGTTCGATCCCTGCATTGGCCGAGAAAGTTCATCCAGTTTTCCGGTGTGGTTCTCCCTTGTCAGTGATGCAGGACGGAGGGGCTGACAAGGACAGCTGTCTAGTCGTTCGGATGGGACGAAAAACCGAGGTCCCGTGTACACATTGGCGTGCACGTTAAAGATCCCTTGACAGTTGGAATTCGATATAAGAGTAGGCCGTAGTGCCGCTGTCCGGGCAAAATTTCCCTCATAGCACACTGTATGGCGTATGCTCGTCTTCATTAGCCCAGTTCAGAGCAAAACAGTAGGACGTTAAACCCCATTTCATTTCATTTCATTTTTGTACACTTATGGATGTTTAATATGTAATCAACGGTACAAAGCCAGAGGGGTCAAAACCAAAAGTACGACACAGATGTCAGTAGCGCGTGTGTTCTCCATGGGCTCTTACGCACGCTGTGCAGCGACGTCGCATGGAATTTACCAATGTTTGGAAGGATGCCTGGGGCAAATTGTTCCATTCTTGGACAAGAGCAGCTTCTAAAGCAGCAATGGTGTGCATCTGTGGTCTCCGATACAGACGGCGTCCAATCTCACCCCAGACATGTTCTATCGGTGCCATGTCCGGAGACATGGCTGGCCAGTCCAAGACATTGATGTTGTTAGCAGCCAGGTAGTCCATACTAAAACGGGCGGTATGCGGACGTGCATTATCCTGTTGGAAGTGCTGAAGTTGTGGGTGCACTCGAAACATCGGAACAACAATTGTTTGCAAGACATCATCGCGGTAGGCTACAGCATTAACGCGACCCCTGCAAATGTGTAGGGCGGTCCGGTGATGAAATGTGATGCCTCCCCACACCATTACACTTCCCCCACCCCATCGATTCGTTTCGAAGACGCAGCAGTCTGCAAGACGTTCCCCAAGGCGTCTCCACACATGTTGACGGCCATCAGCGTGATAAAGATGAAAGCGACTCTCATCACTGAAGAGCACACTTTGCCAGTCTACTCTTCTCCATGTCTAGTGTCCTTGAGCCCATATCAAACGCCACTGACGGTGATGATCCCCGAGGATAGCTCCAACATAAGGTCGTCGTGCACGGAGTCCTACTTCTCTTAGACGACGTCTTACGGTGTTGGCAATAGTAACGCGTTGTGGACCAGGACGTTGACGGTCACATGTTGATCCAGTAACTCGAACACGTTCCACCAACCTTACAATAGTGGACTGATGACAATTGAAGTGTCTGGCAATAGCACGTGTAGACATGCCAGCCCTGGACATTCCCATGGCTTCATTCCGTTGACTTTCAGTAAGTCTCGGCATCTCTAGCTCGATTCCTTCACACGTCCAACAACAAATTACGACAGATTGACGTTTCACAGTTCATGTACTGCACATTAAGTTGAAAACATGCTTTTAAAGGGCTCACACACAATGCTGCACGTTAATATTGGGGTTTTCACGTGCATCTCGTGGAATTTTTTTTTTTTTTTTTTTGCACACGGGCCGATATTTTTTGCGTTTGGGAGCATTGTGTGAAATAATAGTTCATAGTATTGCATAATAGTATACATACAAAACCACCTAGTAATAAAATATTTGGGAAAAAAAGTGATGCGTTTTCCATGGCGCTCAGTATATTTAACATTGATGTCGGTGTGTAAGACAAATATTACCCTAAAACCCTCGGTCGATATGTGAAATAACCCACGGCCTCCGGCCTTTGGTTATTTCACATATCAACCCTCGATTAGGGTAATATTATTGTTCAAGAGCTCCTTTCACCCCAAACATACCTTCTCTGGCATCATAAAATCTCAGATTCTCCGTTTTCATACGATATATACTCAGAAGACCGACTTTGAGTCAGCATGTACGCTGGTATTTAGCAAACTAAGAGAAAGGGGATACTCCAAACGCTATCTGCGACGTATAAAAAACAACACTCTAGCTAAACTTACCGCCAAAGAAACAAATAATATGCAATCAGCAGTTAAAACCAAAACTTGTGGCCATCCAAGATGTCAAACATGCAAAATGTTAAACATATCCGACCATTTCCATAACAAAACATCTGGCACACAATTCCCAATATTAGACCAACTTTCATGCAGTAGTTGAAACATAATTTATCTAATTTCATGCAGACAATGTGACAAGCAATACGTAGGGGAGACTCAAAATGCACTTAGGGAAAGAATTAACGGTCACCGATCAGACATAGTCACCAAAAAAGACAAACCGGCCCCAATTCATTACAACCAACCAAAACATGACATTTCTGATCTCATTGTCACGCCAATAGAAAAGACCAAGAGCGACTTTGAAACTACAGAAGAAATTAAAACGTTTAGGCTAACAAGGGAAAAATTCTGGATTGACAAATTGAAAACAACAGCTCCCCTAGGTTTGAATATTCATACGGCTAGCGAAATAGCCCCTTTTGTAGTTCCATTTGGCGCAACAGCAGCAAGTGCATCCAAAATCATCAGAAAACACTATACTGATCTCCAAGAAAATCTCCCGAAAATATTCACACAGACATTTATAATTGCATAATCTAAAAATAAAAATCTGAACGACATCCTAGTGCGCAGTAAATTAGATTAAATAAGACCATTCTCCACCCTAACCCAAAACAAACCATATATCAAATCCTATCCCTAACCGTTAGTAAATAAAATCAACTAGATATAAGAATCCCTAGCCCTAACCCGGTGATGTGGAACAAACACGATTTTTTTTAGAAAATCCAATCCGTAGTAGGAAACACACTAATGTGGCTCTCCCCCGAGAGCCTCAAATTTATTCTTTTTCTTGTTCAGAAACAAAAATACCAGAATACCAGAAGTACCATCCAAGGAAGACCATCAGTGCCACCAACACCAAAAAACAGTGAAATCGCTTTTGTATATAAATCTAATGTATTGTATGTATTTTTAATAAAACTAGGAAATATCACGAACTAACTTTTCATCATCCTAGATCAGTGCTTATGTGGTGACTTAACCCCTCCCCCAAATTCTTAAACCTAACCTACAATCCACTGGAGCCCAGACACGGCCAGAGAGATCATCAACTGCTGGATGAGGAATTTAAACTAGGATTAGTGAAAAGGAACGAGAAGCCGTCTTTAGGACAGACAGTTGTCAATTTGAGCGACAGACTTCTCAGCCCCCTAGAAATGAACATTCTTGATAAAGGCCTTAAATTCATCCCAGCCCCCACAATAACATCCATGGACCCCATCACCCAGGCAACCGATCGCTTCCAAAGAACACTTTCGTTGGCGTATTTTTTTAGGAACAAACCCGGCAGAGGTAAACAAAATTATTCACAGAAAAATCCACATGGAAACCACCTAAAAAGTCATTATCACTAGCCATCCTAAAAGCTTTCGACGAAATGAACACAGAAATATCATCCCTTCAACCACAATCACCAAACCTCAACCGAGCAACTAAAACAGCATTAAAAACCCTCAAAAAAGACAAAAACGTAATAATTAAGAAAAGCGACAAAGACTCGTGTTGTGTCATAATGAATCGCGCAGACTATATCGCAGAGGCAGAAAAACAATTAAGTAATCCTATA